TTTTGAGAAGACAGAATACCAGAGGGAGTAACATAATATGTGGCTGATGTGGCTGGTGAGATGGGTAGGGGTGAAATCATACAGTGATTTGGAGGCTATTTAAGAATTTGGGTTTTTAATGTTAATATTGTTCAGATACATTACTTTCAATTATGTCCTTGGTATTACTCAATCCAATACATGCAAATTACTCATGAAATATGTCTTTATAGAGAAACATTTTCTGTCAATCACTGCACTATCAATGCCAAAATATTTCTGGTTTCTGCCTATACCCTTACTCTTTAAAAATGTTTTAAAATATGATAACCTAACAAGATTTGTAAGGTCAATATAGAAAAATTATTTAATGTTTGTTAAAGTCAAATAAGTGTTTTTCATTGTGGATTATCAGTTATTTCATATTTTCAGTGCCCTTTTCCTGCTCGTTAAGTGTGACTTAAGAATTTCTGATGTATTATTTGTTAAAGATTAGCAAAGTAATACATGAGTCTTGTAGTTTATTATTTATCTGTCGATTTGCTCATTTGATCACTGACTGTTTTCTTTATTGGGAGATACTAACATACAAAAACCCTATTTGTTACTATGCAGATAAATCATCTGATAAATTTTTTTAAAGCTGTAGGTTTTTAAAAAATATTTTCTAAAAAAAGATTTAGGTTCACATCAAAATTGAGAGAAAGGTACAGAGATTTCCCATACATTCTCTACCCCCAGTTATACATGGCTTCCTCTGCTATCACTGTTCCCCCACCAGAGTAGTATTACAATTGGTGAACCTACAATAACATCATTATCACTCCGAGTCCATAGTTTACATTAGGGTTTACTCTTGGTGTTGTACATTCTATGAGTTTTAAAAAATGCATTTTGACATATATCTATCATTATAGTACCTTATACAGTATTTCCACTCCCCTATAAATCCTCTGTGTTCTGCCTATTCATCCTTCCCTTTCTCTAACCCCTGGCAACCTCTGATCTTTTAGTTAGTGTCATCATAAAGCATGTGGCCTTAATTTTGTGGAGGGCAGGGCAGTTAATTGTTGATTTTTTTGAAGGACACTTCTTTATGGTAAGAAGACCTTTACTGACTTCATTTCTCTTCTCTGAGACTGGTTTACATAAAAAATTCCATTTGATTATACTAAACGGAATTGTTTAATGACAAGGGGGCACTCTTTGTAAGGCAGTGTGACAGGGATGAAACGGTAGTACAGACACAAAGGGAAATGACCCATTTGCTAATATTTAAGTATCTTAAATTAGTTTAAAGATTTCAGTGATTCCAAATGTGTTTTTAGTTTTATAACTTATGTACATGCGTTGATAAAGCCTTCTCACTTTTCATAGCCTAGTATTTTTCTCCAGGCTGGTCTCCTAAGTTTTTTCACCCAATTAAGTTGAACATCTATTGTGGTATGTCAGAATATACTCTTGGCACAAAAGTATGTAATTCCCATTTTTGTTTGAATGGCTTCAGTATGGTCTTCTCATTTTCAATTTGATCTAATGAGTGTTTATACAAACTAATATTGCCTGTTATATATTTATCTTTCTTATATTCTGTGTATTAAAATTAATTTAAAAGCTATTATGATTTATAAATTCACGGAAACTGGATCCTAAGAGCCACTTATTTTTTCCCTCTTTATTTAGATGTATACTTCAATTTTTGCCAGTGTTCATTCATTCACTAGATATTTGTTGAACACTATGGACAGAAGCCTCTGGCAGCCATTGATAAGAAATATACACATGAATAAGACATTATTTTTAGTCCAAGGAACATAAAGGACTTTAAGGTGTTTAAAGGCATTAAGAAAGTTTGTAAATAACATTTAAAGTAAAAGCTAAAATGCTGTATCGGAGAGTTTAGAGGAAGGGAGAATTACTTGTTTCTGGGAGAGAATCTGTGATAGATTCTACTGGGAAGAAGCAGGCTAGACTTTGAAATATAGGTAAGATCAGATGTGTACACATGGGAAAAATGTTATTTATTTGTAGCAGTGACTCAAATAAAGAATATATGTGGAAAAGCACTGTGCTTATAAGAGCATCTGATTTGTCTAGTATAGAATGGGAAGTATGTAGAAATAAAACAGACAAAGTTGGTTGGGATGAGATCACTGAGGGCCTTCAATGCAGTTTTTATATGTGTATTCAAATATATATCCATGTTTATAAATATAATAAACACATTTTAATTAAAAAAAAAAAGTAATTGTTATTTCCGTGCTGCTGAATATATGCCAGAGGAAGGGTTGTAACTTTTTACTGAATTGTGTGTAGCTACTATTAACTTCAGAAAAATTTTTCTTATGGATGCTGATGTCCAGCTGTTAGTCATTTATTCTTTTCAAAACTTTTCTTCATGATAAAATAAATACATACATACTCGGTCTTTTTAAAAAGTTTAGATTATACAGGAAAATTAAAAAAAAAAAGGTCATCTATTATCCCAACATTTGCATTTGGTCTGTTTGTTTCCATGTAATATTTACTTTTGAAAACATTTTTAAGTGGAACAGAGAATAACAAGAGGTAGGGTTTTTTTTTCTGCTTAGATAATTTAGAACTGATAAACTGGTGGCTTCCCTACTTCTCTTTATCTTCCTGTGTGTATTTGATAAACAACTTGAAATCTTTGACTAAAATCTTAATTTTTAATTTAAATCAGAATGTATTGGTCTAAGGTCACTTGAAAGTGGAGTGTATTTTTCTGTTTGCAGAACTGAAAAAAAGTTACTCAGTTGTTACTTTTATTCCAGAAGCATGTTTATTTTTTTTTTAACTTTTTAAAACATTTTAGAGAGATATAAAAAATTTAGTGAGAAATAAATTTAACTTTCGCTTAACTATGAAGGGTTGTAATTTGGCATTATCAGCATACACACTGTTAGGTTTACAATCTCATGTGGAGAAAAAAATACAGGAATTTACAGAGCTATAATACCTGGTTAGGGCAAGAGATTTTTAGAAAAGGCAACATAAGGTCTTTCCTTTGGTTCATAGACAGTTTGTTTCTGGGGTGCTGCTTTGTGCCAAGTCCTGTAAATACTGAGTAGAATTAGACATGACCACTATCTTCAGTGTGCTCTCAGTCCAGTTTTTAAATTTGAATAGGGGATTCTGGGAATTGACACCAGGCCCTTGTATGTGCAAAGCAAAATGCAGTAATGCAGAAGACTTCCAGATAGAGTTTAAAATTATTGAAGGAAGATGACCAAAAGCCCAGATGTTTTGGTGTATCTTATGACTTTGGTATTAAAATTAAGGAAGTAAGACAATAAGAATGTATATGCAGCAAGGCAAAATTATTTGAGTGTATGTGTTTTAGTATTTCGAAAATAAGAAAAAGGAAATTTAAAGAATGAGACAGGAGGGGATGAATGGAGAATGGCTTCTTACCTCTGTTACAAACCGAAGTAGAAGGAAAATATCTTTGTTCTTATTAATTTATAAATGGAAATTTTTTATTATATCCATGCCTTGTATTTATATGCACATATGGTCATTTTGTAATATGCAGAGTTTTTGCACTGTCATGCCTTTCTCAATGTAGTTTCTCAACTTGGAGATTTAGTTTAATTTAAATTTCATCCTTAATACTATTGGATCCTCTAAGTTTCACCGCATAAAACTTTTTTAGTGATTTAACATTTTCCTGGTCCATGAAGTGGGACATGATAGTCATCTACGGCTATATTGTAGCTGTAGATGTTGAAGACTGTTTTAGAGGAAGTGGTAGTCTAAATCATGTTATCAGTAAGTGTTAAACAAGTTTAGATTAACCAGTTCTCTATGGAAGTAATTTTTGTTTTGAATTTAATATTATAAATAAGAATTATATGACTTTGCAAATTATAGATATTTTTGTGATTCAAATGCTTTACATACACAAGAAAAATAAAACTTTTTTTCTATATGATGATTCTTAAATTTTTGTTTTAAACCATAAGCAAATTCATTTCTTTTTTTTAATTAGCTTTTTTTCCTATGTAGGACACCATTGTGGTGGCTAGATCTATTGTTTTGTTAGCTTCTTCATGTACAAGGAGAGATTGTAAACCTTGTATATTTTTTAAAGCATTTGAAGACCTCAAATCAACTCTTTATGTAAGTGTGCAGCTTTTTTTCTCTAATTATATTGCAGATTTAATAAGCTAAAGTGAAGGGATTGAAAGTATTTCTCTATATTTGGCCTGACTGAATTATTTTATTTGAATATTTTAAGTTTAAAAAATAGAAGTTTTTTTCTTAGTTTTATGTTTAGAATGACTAGATAGAAAAGGGAATTCCTTTATATTTAATAAATACTTGTTAATGAAACTTACAAAACTGCACAGACATTCTAGACTGGATACTGTTCCTTGTAATTACCGTCAGATGCTTTGCTCTACTTGATTTCACTTTAGGTAATCAAGTACCCCTCTTTAGATAAAACTGATTTGCTTCTATTTTATTCATTGTGAAGATAATCTTCCTCTCCTTCCTCTCCCTACACACACACACACACACACACACACACACACACACACACACACACACACACACTCACTCTTGAAAATTGCCTTTTTAGTCAAGGCTATTAGGTAGAATTAGGCTAAGCCAAGTGCCTGCAGGCCAACATCTGCCGCTTTTTTTCTGGTATGCACAAAGGTACTATAAAGGCTGGAGGTGGCTCTGTTTGAGATTAAAATTAATGAATTAGGATGGAGATGGGTAAAATTTGCAGTTGGAGTGATCACTGAAGCACAAGTACATTTTATTTAACCTTACATCTTTGCTTTTTTTTTTTTTTTTTTTTTAGTTTTGATAGCTTAGACAACTTTGCAGATTTCACTCTTAATTTGTAAGCCATAACTTTATGCCATCCTAGTGAATTTAAATATTTTACAGTGAAGTGTGTTCTTTTACTACAACTAAAAAGCCTGTAGTTACATTGGAGGTGATTTGTATACAAATAAGTTATTTCTTTTTTTTTTTTCCTTCAGGTTTATGTTGAATCCTGTAAGAGATCTTTCTACAGAATCAATGTCTTTGGTAAGATGATACTCAGTTTAATTTAGAATATTACCACCTACAACCATGTATCCATACACACACAGATACAAGTGTTCACATATTTAGTCCGCTTTGTAATTTGACATAGTTTCAATACACTGGAAAAACATAATCTTTTTTTTTTTTCTTTTTTTTTTTGAGATGGAGTTTCGCTCTTGTTACCCAGGCTGGAGTGCAATGGCGCGGTCTCGGCTCACCGCAACCTCCGCCTCCTGGGCTCAGGCAATTCTCCTGCCTCAGCCTCCTAAGTAGCTGGGATTACAGGCACGCTGCCACCACGCCCAGCTAGTTTTTTGTATTTTTAGTAGAGACAGGGTTTCATCATGTTGACCAGGATGGTCTCGATCTCTCGACCTCGTGATCCACCCGCCTCGGCCTCCCAAAGTGCTGGGATTACAGGCTTGAGCCACCGTGCCCAGCCCATAATCTTTTTTTATAGCTGATAATGTTATGTTGGAGTTATTGTGTTTTACTTAGTAATCAGTATCTGAATATTTTATTGTCTGGAATATCTGCTGATAGTTTTTGTAAGCTGTACATTCATAAGAAAAATAAAACAAGTTTTTACTATATGACAATCCTTAAATTTTTATTTTAAATCATAGGCAAATTCATTTGTTTCATTAGCTTCTATTTAACTAGACTATTATGTGATGAATTATATAATTGAACAAATTATATAATTTTAAGTCGTTTTCTTATGATACATTTCTCCTTTTTTAACCATTTTTTTCCTCTATTTTATGGCATAGGTATACCTATAACTTCCTCATAGCAATAGGAAGATTCTTATTTTTACAGATAGGCTACTTGTAGCTGAGTGAAACTGGAAAGAAGGTATTAATAATATGTTGGTATAGTTTAATATAGTGTTTATGTTCTACTTACGTTTTTGAACTTTTAGTTTCAAATAGAATTCAAGAACTCTTTCTAGTTGACAATGACTATAAAGCAGATTTTAAATTCTGAGTATTAGTATAATTAATATTTTTGTGGGGACTGTTACTAATAAAAGAACTGATATACTCTTTAAAAACTGAGTTAACTCTAGTATTAGTATTTCACAAAATTGTTATAGATTGATTAATTTCAAATATTTGATATATCTGTGAACCTGTAAATAAGGCAGGAATAAATGAAAAAGCCTCTAAACTTTGCAAAAAATGTTTTTTCACAAAGCCCATGTATTATGAATAAATCAGGTATGGATCTATTTGACTTTATTTTCCTGACTCATCAAAAGATGTTCATTTGGCACATTTCCACGTTTTTAAACTAAGCATGGATCTTGGAGTTGATATCAAGAAAACAAACAGTTACTGTTTTGATTTTCTTATTGTTTTCCTGAAAAAGTATAGTTTTTCAAGAATTTATTATATATGTTGTTTGAGAACCAGGATGGTTCTCAAAATTTAGAAAGTAGAGTATTTTGTTTTTCAGTGGTAGAAAGTTTACTCTTTTCAAGTGACTTAGAATAATCATTTGATATTGTACTGTCTTTAGGATTTAAAAGCTTTACTGGCTCACTTGTGTGGTCTGAAGGCCCAACATAAACTATCCCCTATGTTTTTATTCAGCCTAATCTTGTTATTGTCTTTGACCCATACACTCCAATGCAAACCTCCTGAATTTTCATACATACTAAATATGTTTTCTCTGCTTGGAACACTGTTGCTTATCTCAGTCCCAACTTCTGTACTACATTTAATTAGTTCTTTCTTTAAATATCTTTTCAAAGAAACTTTCTAAGACAACTCTAAGACATGTCTCCACTTTTATGGTTTGTTCTTCCATTGGTTCAGGGGCTATTTGTGTTTCGTTTACCCTTTTATTTTTAGTGCCCTATATAGTACATGGCCCATCAATGAATGAATGAAAGAAAGACAGAAATAAAGGAATGAATGAATTGAATTACTGCTACTAGGTATCTTTCTCTCTTCAGGCTTTTATTGTCATGACTTCTTTTACTGTGCTTGATTTTTGTCCACCAGTTAACTTTCTGCATATGCTGTAAATTGTATCTCATTTAACCCAGTGCTCACATTTTGTTGACTGATTCCATAATGGGCTTCCCCTTAAGCTATCAAGAAAAAAATTGTTCATGTCTGTGTGAAATATGGAAATATGGATCTATGGATATACTTGGTGATAATGCTATCAAGTTATCTTTAGTATATCATGAGCCCATGGTTTTCTCATGAATATATTTTACTGTTTTAGGGCAAGTGCCTGTGTTTGCAATACTAAGCAACTTGCTGTGTGGAGCTATTAAAAATTCAGTTCATGATTTGCAGTAGTCATACTTAAATTTCTGAATAGCCATAATATTGGTAGTAGAATATTTTCATTATCACAGAAGATTTTCTTGGATAGTGATGTTTTAGATTATTTAGAGAGCAATAAAAAAAACCTCAATAAGTGTTTTCATAAGTACTAATTTTGTTAGCCTAGGAGTTGTTAGAATGCCATAAATAATATATGCCGATTGCCTTAGACATTAAACATGCGCCTCTTGCATCTGCCATGTGAAGCTATTTTCAGATCCCTAATTACATAATGCTAATATGTCCTATCACCTCTCCTTGTTACTTGTCCTTCAAAATTTAGATTTGTTGCCACCTTCAGAAAGCCTTTGCTTACTGTTCTCCTTAGCTAACTCCCCTATTTCCCCCACTAACAAATACTTGTTCATACTGATTTGGATGTCCCTCTACAGTCCTTTTATGGAATGCCATACTTTATTGTGTCAGCAAGGGAGGCAAATTGGTCACTAAGATAGGGCTGACTAGAAATCATGTAAATTTAATAACCATGTTCAAGTGTGAGCCTACTCAAGGGTGCATTAACCAAACTTGTAAGAATATTAAACTCATTAGAGAATGATTAAGAAGCAAAAATATCAGTTTATGAATTTATAATGAGGATTATAACTTAGCTGTTGTACACGTAAATACTTGCTGATTTACCTGGAAAGCCAAACAAGAAGTTGTTTATTGGTAATGAATTGACAAGTGGCAGTTATTTGGTTGATTATAATGGTTAGTGTCATTGAGTTTTGCTGGCCTTTCCCATTCATCTCTTCATAAAGGGAGATACTTGTTAAGATAGAATATTGCGTGTAAGCTAAGCACATGTTTTCTGTCTGCTGTTCGGTATACTTGTGTTCCATTATTCCTCTTTCCACTCCATTCTGTTACTCTTTTTTTAATCATTGATGAGCTACAGCTTTCTTTTATATTGAAGTTTGATTAGATTAGCATATTCTACTCTTTTGTTTTATCTGAGAAGTAAGCATCCTTGGAAAAAAAATTTTTATTTGAGTTTTACAATTTTAACTGAGAGTGACCTGGTGTCCTTATTTCCAGTTGATATTGGGGCCACCTACCTAAAGCCTTTTACGGGTTTATTTAGTATCACTGTTAATATACAAATACATCCTTGTGAACCAGTCTCTTTTTTCTTTACCAGCTTATTTACGGTTACTTGAAAAAACAATCTTTTGGTTCTCTTATTATTATAAAACAAAAGGAGCTCGCTGCCTGATGTGCTAAAAGCCAATATTATGAAACCGAAGTTTTGAGAAAAGCAAAGCTGAATGTCAGTGCCAAAGGAGACACGAGCTGAGCACATATATGTCTTCCTGTGCTGTCTTTAAGGCAGTAATTTTATTAGAAAAGCTTTAGAGAGTAGATACTGGGATTAGTAAGTCATTAGTAGAATGAAAGGGGGGATTTGGAAAGTTCATCGGCATGCAGAGTTATTTCTTCATATCAATGCATAGGTTGCACCTGCAAGTTTAGATGGAGTTAGTACGATGAATGTGATGTCAGGGTCAGCGTCTCAGCAAGTTGTTTCTTTTCTTATCTGATATTCTGCAAACTCAATAATTTTTGTTAGTTGATGACGTCAACTTTTCAACAAGTTTTCTTATCTACTATAATGTAACCCCCAGAATTTAGACATTTTTAATTTTAATCCTTTGGGATATGGTTTCACTATTAGCATTTTAAATCTTTTCATACCATTTATAATTCAAAACCTGGCTTGAGTTATAAGTCAGAATTTAGGCCTAAGGAAAATCTCTATAATAGCATGGGGGTAAGGTGAAGAAATTGTACCACAAGTTTCAAAGTAATATTAGTTAAAAAATAGAAACAAATCTCTTAAATTGCATTTTTTTAGAATTTGCTGTCTGTTAACTATTTGATTTCTTGTCCCCAGCTAGAATTTCTTGGCCAAATAAGCTGGGGATGTACTATTAAAGATAGCTAGGATGATTTAATTACTAAACGATTCCTTAAGAGTGTCCTTAAAAAAAAATTTCCTAAACTTACAAGAGATGTAATTTTATTGTTAAGACTAATATAGTATTCTAGTTGCCTTTCAGGGCTTCTAAAAATAATGCATTATACCTAGTCATTTACCTTTAATAAAACTCTTTTCCTAGACTTTACATTGAAGATGCACATATTTTAAAAGGAATATTTTTTGTTTTCCGTTATTGCTTCAATTTTGACATGTATTGCTGGTATTTCACTACAAATGATCTTTGATTTACAATGAGGTTACATTCAATAAACTCATCATAAGTCAAAAATGTTATAATTTTAAAAATGCATTAAATAGCCTAATAGACACATTCTAAAGTCAGAAAATTGTAAGTCGAACCATCATAAGTCAGGGACTATGTGTATATACTACTGGCTACTTTTTTATTGAAGAAGTATAATGTTTTATTTAGATTATAGGTTAGTTATGCCTTTATGAGCTAGTGTGCAAATTGTACCATTTATAAACAAAGTTCTAAGGAAAACTAGTTGGTTTATATAGTAACCTTTGTAAGCTGAGCTGTGTGCATTGCCTTTTTCGGGTTACAGCTTCTTTTAGACACTTAAGATGATAAAATACAGATATATGGAATTGCTACAAATATGATTATAACATGATCTACAATGTAAATACTTAAATGCATTCACTGTCTTCTCTTTCTTTAGGTTCCAACAACAAATTACATATATACACCCCTGAATCAACTTAAGGGTGGTACAGTTGTCAATGTCTACGGTGTTGTGAAGTTCTTTAAGCCCCCATATCTAAGCAAAGGAACTGGTAGGTATTAAAACTGGTGGAGTTTTTATGGAGTAGAACTGAATTACTGATTTAGGAACACAGTTCCTTCAGTACCCTAAGTCCTAGAATACAAACTCAGTTCTCACCTGTAATCACCAAACAATGCTGATTGTTTGGCTAGTTTAATTTATAAAATAAATATGATCTCTAGATTCTAGAGTCTAGTTAAAGACAGTAAGGGCAAAGAATGAAGCAAAGGATGCCAACCAACAACATGAAAGCATCTGAAAGTATAAAATTCACTGGTAAAGGTAAGTATATAAACAAATGCAGAATACTACAATTCTGTAACATTGATGCATAAATCACTTTTAATTCTGGTATAGAATTTGAAAGACAAATATATAAGAGGAGCTATACAGAAGTGTGTTAATGGATATATACTATAAAAAGTTATAAATTTTGACATGAATAGCATAAAATGTGGTAATTGTAGAAGTAAAAGTGCATAGTTTTGGATGCAATTAAAGTTAAGTTGTCAGGTTAAAATAGATTGCTATAAATTTAAAGTACTTTATGTCAATCTCATGGTAACCACAAAGAAAATACCTGTAAAAGATACTCAAAAGAAAATGAGAAGGGAATCAAAGCATGTCATTACAAAAAAATCAAATACAAAGAAAGAGAGCAAGAAAGGAAGATAGGGAATTAAGAGCCACGCAACAGACAGAAAACCATGAATTAAATGGCAATCGTAAGACCTTCCTAATCAATAATTATTATTATTATAAATGAATTAAATTCCCCAACAAAAAATCATAGAGTAAATGAGTGCATTTAAAAAAACAGGATACAACTGTATGCTGTCTACAAAAATTCACTTTAGATTTAAGGACACACATGAAAATGGGCTAAATGAAAATGGAAAATGTAATGGAAAAAGATTTCTTGCAATGGTAACCAAAAGAGAAGGGGTAGCCATACTTATATCAAACAAAAGAGACTTTAAGTCAGAAACTGTAACAACAGGCCAGGCACAGTGGCTCATGCCAGTAACCCCAGCACTTTGGAAAGACCAAGGTGGGTGAATCACAAGATCTGGAGTTCAAGACCAGCCTGGCCAAAATAGTGAAACACTGTCTCTACTAAATACAAAAAATTAGCTGGGCATGATGTCATATGCCTGTAATCCCAGCTACTTGGGAAACTGAGGCAAGAGAATCACTTGAACCTGGGAGGTGGAGGTTGCAGTGAGCCAAGATTGGGCCATTGCACTCCACCAAGTTGGTCTCAGGAGAAAAAAAAAAAAAAAAAACTGTCACAAGAGACAGTTTTTGGACATTATATTACAGTAAAAGGGTTAATTCACCAAGAAAATATGAGTTACATATGCTGCTAACATCAGAGCACCTAATCCGTGAAGCCAACATTTCAGAAATGAAGGAAGAAATGACAACACAATTATATTAGGAGGTTCCATTTCACAACTTTCAATAATGGAGAGAACATCCAGACAGATCAATAAGGAAACAGAAAACCTGAACAACACTTAGACCAAATGGACCTAACAGACATAGATAGAATATTCTACCCAGCTAGACCAGAGTATACATTTTTCTCAAGTGCACATAGAATGTTCTCCAGTGTAGGTAACTCATTAGGTTACAAAACAAGTCAATAAATTTCAGATTAAAATCATGGCAAGTATCTTTTCTGACTTCAGTAAAATGAAACTAGGAATCAACAGCAGGAGGAAAATTGTAAAATTTAGAAGTGTGTAGATATTAAATATTACACTCTTGAACAATCAGTGAGTCAAAGAGGGGGTCAAAAAGGAAATTAGAAAATACCTTGAGATGAGGAGAAATCCAAGATGGCCGAATAGGAACAGTTTCAGAGTACAGTTCACAGCAAGAACAACACAGAGGGTGAGTGCCCACCACATTTCCAAGCAAATTTTCACTACTCACAGACAGGAGATTCCCAGACCAAAAAGCACCATGAATTTTAAGCAACGGTGGTTTCAGCTGGTGCTGGGTTGGCACACAGAAACACAAATCTGGGCAGCCATTTCAACTGATGCCTGGGAGACAGAGCCACCCATTCAACTGAAAGAGAGCAGGCAGAGACAGGGAGCCAGGTGATCTGGTTCAGCAGGTACCAACCCCACAAAACAAGCAATCTGAAACACTCTGGATTGAGAGTTGTGCGGCTGGACCCAGGACAGTCCAGCTCAGTGGAGGGAAGGGCAATCACCGCTAATGAGGCAGTCTGTCACTACCCAGACAGTTCACACAGCAGCTAGGCAGAGCCTGCAGCAGCTCAGCAGCACCTCTACTGACAGGCTGTGACTAGACTACTCCCTGCAGTGCAGGGCATCTATGAAAAAAGGCAGCAGCATGACAGGAACTTATAAATAATGCCAACCTTCCTAGGACAGAGCATCTGGGAAAAGAGGCAGTTATGAGTTCCACTGCAGCAGACTTAAAAGTACTTGCCCAGCAGCTCTGCATGGAACAACGGAGCACCCAGCACAGCACTTGAGCCCCTGTAACGGACAGACTGTCTCCTCAAGCAGTTCCCCAATCCCTGTTTACCAAAATAGACACCTCATAAAGAAGAGCTCAGGCCAGCATCTGGCAGGCACCCTTCTGGGATGAAGATAACAGAAGAAGAAAACAACAGCAACCCTTACTGTTCTGCAGCCCCTGCGGGTGATCCCCAGGCAAGCAGGGTCGGGAGTGCACCTCCAGCAGTTCTGCAGCAAAGGGGCCTGACTGTTAGAAGGAATACTAAGAAACAGAAAGAGATAACTTGATCATCAACAAAAATGACGTCCACTCAGAGACCCCATCTGAAAGTCATCAGCTACAAATACCACAGGTAGATAAAGCCACTAAGATAGGAAGAAACCAGTGCAAAAAGGATGAAAAACCAAAAACCAGAACACCTCTCCTCCTCCAAAGGATCACAACTCCTCATCAGCAAGGGATCAAAGATGGATAGAGAATGAGTCTGATGAATTGACAGAAACAGGCTTCAGAAAGTGGGTAATAACAAACTTCTCAGAGCTAAAAGAACATGTTCTAACCCAATGCAAAGAAACTAAGAACCTAAAAAAAAAGTTAGATGAGATGCTAACTAGAATAAACAGCTTAGAGAAGAATATAAACGACTTGATGGAGCTGAAAAACACAGCATGAGAACTTTGCAAAGTATACATGAGTTTCAATAGCCAAATCCACAAGTGGAAGAAAAGGTATCAGCGATTGAAGATCAACTCGATGAAATAAAACGAGAAAGCAAGAATAGAGAAAAAAGAGTAAAAAGAAATGAACAAAGCCTCCAAGAAATATGGGCTTATGTGAAAAGACCTAATCTATGTTTAATAGGTGTACCTGAATGTGATGGAGAGAATGAATCCAAGCTGGAAAACAGTCTTCTGGATAATTATCCAGGAGAACTTCCCCAACCTAGCAAACCAGGCCACCATTCAAGCCCAGGAAATATGGAGAACACCACAAAGATATTTCTCAAGAAGAGCAACCCCAAGGCACATAATCGTCAGATTCAGGGTTGAAATGAAGGAAAAAACGCTAAGGGGCGCCAGAGAGAAAGGTCGGGTTACCCCCAAAGGGAAGCCCATCAGACTCACAGCATATCTCTCCACAGAAACCGTACAAGCCAGAAGAGAGTGGGAGCCAATATTCAACATCCGTACAAGAACTTTCAACCTAGAATTTCATATCCAGCCAAATTAAACTTCATAAGCGAAGGAGAAAGAAAATCCTTTATGGGCAAGCAATTGCTGAGAGATTTCATCACCACCAGGCCTGCCTTTCAAGAGCTCCTGAAAGAAGCAGTAAGCCAAGAAAGCAACAACCAGTACCAGCCACTCTAAAAATGTACCAAATGGTAAAGACCATTGACACAATGAAAAAAAATGCATCAACTAACAGGCAAAACATCCAGCTAGCACCAAAATGGCAGGATCAAATTCACACATAACAATATTAACCTTAAATGTAAATGGGCTAAAGGCCCCAATCAAAAGACACAGACTGGAAAATTGAATAAAACTTCAAAACCCATCAGTGTGCTGTATTCAGGAAACTATCTCACATGCAAGGATACACAAAGGCTCAAAATAAAGGGATAGAGGAAGATTTACCAAGCAAATGGAGAGCAAAAAAAAAAAAAAAAAAAAAGCAGTTGCACTCTTAGACTCTGATAAAATGGACTTTAAACCAACAAAGATCAAAAGAGAAAAAGAAGGACATTACATAATGGTAAAGGACCAATGCATCAAGAAGAGCTAATGACCCTAGATATATACACACCCAATATAGGAGCACACAGGTACATAAAGCAAGTTCTTAATGACCTACAAAGAGGCTTAGACTCCCACATAATAATAATGGGAGACTTTCAATTATCTTAATGGATTCAGATAAGACCGTGGACAAAATTCAACAGCCCTTTATGCTAAAAACTCTCAATAAACTTGGTATCGAAGGAACATATCTCAAAACAATAGAAGCTATCTACAACAAACCTACAACCAATATCATACTGAATGGGCAAAAACTAGAAGCATTCCCTTTGAAATCTGGCACTAGGCAAAGATGCCCTCTCTCACCATTCCTATTCAATATAGTATGAGAAGTTCCAGCTGGAGCAATTAGGCAAGAAGAAAAAGGGTATTCATTTAGGAAAAGAGGAAGTCAAATTGTCTCTATTTGCAAATGACATGATTGTATATTTAGAAGATGCTATCATCTTAGCCCAAAATCTCCTTAAACTCTTAAGCAACTTCAGCAAAATCTCAGTATACAAAATCAATGTGCAGAAATTACAAGCATCCCTATATACCAATAACAGACTTAGAGAGAGCCAAATCAAGAATGAACTGCCATTCACAATTGCTACAAAGAGAATAAAATACCTAGGAATACAACTAACAAAGGATGTAAAGGACCTTTTCAAGGAGAATGACAAACCATTGCTCAAGGAAATAAGAGAGGACACAAACAGATGGA